AATTTTATTTTTCTAGGTTTCATGCGGTTGATGTACCTCTGATTGATCAAAGCAAGTCTCCATCAACCAATACTACTTCAAAGGATTCAACATTTTACCAACAAATCCCTAAAGTAAAACAACCTACAAATTGGGTCCCATTTTCTAGGCGCGACTCAAATGCATTAGAGCAAGCATATCGTTCAGGAACTCCTGGAACTAAAGTTCCATGCAACGAAGATTATTTATTTGAAGTTGATGTTGATAAGCGTGAGATTCATTCTGTAAGAAAAAACATCTATTTTTCTATAATAAAAAAATTTTTTTCCTGATCTTTAAAGACTTTTACGATTCATTTATAGGTATATTGGTGTGGTCCTATTTATGAAGTCAGGCGTGGAACATGGTTTCAACAAATCGAACTTAATAAGTATATACCCTGCGATGAAAATTTAGCAATGCAAATCGAAGAAGGTTATAAGTAAGTGTTATGTTATTATTAATAATAAATTCATGTGATGTTATGTTTATTGTATTTATTGATAGAAAGCATCAAGCATGGATACCGTCTCCTGAACCGGAGCCAAATAGTCCGTCTACAGCATCAGAAGGAGCGATTGAAAAAGAAAAGGAAAGGCGCTGGGCGCTTTTGGGAAAATATTTATCTCAATATGTAACTTACACGAATCCAACAACTGCTTGGTTATTAAAGTGAGAACATTTAATAACCTTTAGTATCCAATTATTATATAAATTCTAATTAACTTGCGTTTATAAATCATCAGTGACGATATGACTGGAAGGCTTACTAAAACATTTTTTTCCACGATTACTAATAATGAAAACTTGGGTGGTGTAAGACTTATCCGAGGTTATCAAGAGGTAAAGAAGTACGCTTTTCAAAAATCAAATGAGGACGCTGCCAAAAAGAAAAAGGAAGAGGCGGAAACTGTTACCAGAAGCATTCCTCCATTAGATGCGCAACAAAGAGACATAAAACTGGAAGCTATGGAAACTCAAGATTATGAGAATGAAGAGAGCGAAGGTGAAGAACGTGTCATTGATCATCTTATTTTGGTAATTCATGGGTATGTTATTATTATTCTTAATTAATTTAACGTTGAAAAAAAACCAATATATTATACATTAATATCGGTTGTTATACATTAAAGGATTGGTCAAAAACTGAGTGAAAGGATAGAATGGTTACATTTTGTTAATGGTATATATACATATATATTTTTTATTCAATATTTGAACACTCTATATTACAATTTCGATTAACTATGAACTTGTAAAAGATGTTAATACACTAAGAAAAACCCTCAAGTCTATATTTGCGAACCATACGTCTGAAACTTCTCAAAATTCTGCGAAAAGTGGGTCAAGTACAAGTTCTAGCAGGCGTAATTCTGCTATATCTGACAGACTTTCTCAAGGTAAAAATGGAATTCAAGTATTACCTATTCAATGGCGTCAGGAAATCCAGGTTTGCTTCAATTCTCGTATTCTTGTATAACATCCAACATATGGCTTACATGTTTATCTTTTTTTTTTGTGAAAAAGTTCGGTATGGCAGCAGACGAAGAAAATTTTCAAAGGGATTTGGGCTTGCCTAAAGCCGCCGAAGAGGGAAAAACCACTCTAGGTATAAGATTATCCTATTTTATTAATTATTGATATTTATTGAGTATTTAGATTAAATTAAAGATTTCAATTTATTATAGGTGAAATCACATTAGAGGGTGTACCAACATTACGACTACTTCTTTCTGATGTTCTGATGGATGGTGAGTTGATAGTGATTAAATTTATTTGGTATTGACATTATTAACTAACTATAAAAATCATGTAATCAGTATTATTGTATATGACTCCACGATATCGAGAAATTATGATTAATACTGTTACTAATGAAGCAAATAGAATCTACAATTTATTTATTCAACGAAACCCGAAATTTGTTGAGAATGGGGGTAAGGTTTCATTATATGGCCATTCACTTGGGTCTGTATTGGCCTTTGATGTCCTGTGTCATCAACCTCCAATTCCTCCAAGTACTGGTGAAATTGCTCCGTCTGATACAAAACACGAAAATTTTGCCAAGCTTGATTTCCCTGTTCAACACTTTTTCAGTGCTGGCAGTCCCATGTAATGTTTATCACTA